CTCGTGGGAATCTTATGGGTAAGAACAAAAATAAAAACAGTCACGAAAAAAGAGGGAAAAACACCTCAGTCGAAGGGCAAAGGAAAAGCGGCAGTGCTTCGGGAAAACCCCGAAGTTCCGCCGAAAGCCTCCCCGTGCTTGGAGAACCAAGAGGGCTGGACAACCCGCGAAGGAAGGGCCTAAGTGGGGCCAGCACACAGACGTACCTCAGGACATGACACCTGAGGCAGCCAGAGAAACGGTAGATAAATAGAAATAGGAGAGTATAAAGCAAGAAATGCCCTGCATCCTCATCTTCGTCCAAAGTGGTGGACCACAAGGAGAGCAAGAGGGGAAGTGAGAACATCACGCCCCCTCAGGGGCCAAAAAGTAAGAGGAGGAAAGTTTATCCTTTCAAACCCACCGCAACCGCAGCAGGGACTAGCCCTAGCTGCGCGGCATCAGTAAAAAGCGTCCGAGTGGGAATTATACCAAGGGACTACCCCGACGTCACGCTAAACATGGAACAACTCACGGACTTAGAGAGTGCTCTATTGGAAGAAATGTTCACCAGTACAGTGGTGAACCTGAGGTTCGCAGGAATCCATTTCAGGTCAGGACTGATAATGGACTGCGAAAACGAGCTGGCTGAGGGAAACTGTACCCTTGCTGAAAGAATGGAAGGCGCGGAGGTTAACTGTATGCGCGGGAGAAAAAATCCCAAAAGCACACACCAGAAACTCTCCAAGCTCCTAAAGACCCAAAACGCCGACATCAAGATAGAGGCATGGAAGGTGATAAGCTCAAAGGAGCAATCACATGGACAGCTGCTCACCCTGGGCATAGACACCAGGTCGAGCGAAATAATCGTGGCTCAAAACCACTCCATGCAATACAGGTTTGGACGCGTCACGGTGCACGGCTTGAGGAAAGATGAGAAAGGAGCCAAGCCAGAGGAAAAGATGGACCCCACTCAGCACTCAACCTCCGGGATTCCCCTGAACAGAAAGAAAGTATCCAAACTGGAGGTGACTGAGCCCAAACCAAGTAACACCGAGACTGAGGGCTCAGAAAACGAACTTCCCACTAAAGGACGAGACAGACATCGCCAAGGGCGAGGGCAACGCCACCTCGCCTCCGTCTTTAGTAACCAATAGACAATACAGCTACCAGGGTAGCCCAGGTCAACCTTCATCACGCCAGAGGATCCTCTGCTGTGATTGCGAGGTTGGTTGGGCAAGGGCTTGTGGATCTTGCGCTGATCCTAGACCCGTGGGTATACAGGAGGCAGGTAAAAGGACTGACCACCAGAAACTCAAAGGTAACATGGGACGATAGGCACGAAACGCCCAGAACCTGCATAGTAATCAAGAATATATGACAAGGGACCTAGTACCATGGTGACTTTCCAGCACTTGGGCAGACAGTGGTCCATTGTAATAGCAGCCGCATACTTCGCTAGGTACGGACCACGCACACCACCGGCGGAACTGCAGGAGCTAGCACACCACTGTAGGGGAAAAAATATGCCACTCCTAGTGGAATACGACGCTAATGCACACCACAACTTCTAGGAGGACTCAAATACCAACACCAGGGGTGAGTACCTTTTAGAATTCTTACTTGAAATGAACTTTGACATTTACAATAAAGGAAATACACCCACTTTTGTAACAAGGGCAAGGGAGGAAGTACTAGATATAACATTTGGTAGTTCCGAAATAACGAACTAACTGAAAAACTGGAGGGTCTCGTCTGAACCCTCCCTGTCTGATCACAAGCTCATATAGTTCAGCTTAGAATTAAGCATCTTCAAAGCAAGACTCAAGAGAAACCCTATAAGAGCAAGTTGGAAATTATACAGAGCCAATCTGGAAGACAATCTCAAAGTAATCAACCCGGGAATAAAATATCATCACGTAGAACTAGAAGAGAAAGTAGAGCGCGTTAACCAGTAATGGAGGCATTTGACTCTAGCTGCCCCATGGTGGAATGCAAACCTGGCACGCCTCCGGACTTAAGCTCGATGTTCATTTACCACAGCAAGGGGAGCCGGGGAGTGGCAGGGTTACACAGAGGCTCTCACAAAGTATAACAAAGAAAGAAATCAGGAAGGCAAAAAGAATAACTTTAGTTCTTTCTGTGAAAACATCAACTCGACTCCGGTCGCCGATAGACTGCACAAGGCAATAGCCAAAGAGGTAACAAGATCGACAATGGCTCTGAAAAATCCAGATGGTACCTTGACGGAAAGCGAGGAGGAGCGTGCGCTCCTTCTTTTGAGCAAGCACTTTGCAGGTAGTAGGCCAACAAACAGAAGCGAGGAAAGAGCGAACTCCAGATGGCCCACTAGGGAAGACTGGGAAACAGCAAAAACGATACTCACTGATGAGCGGCTTGAATGGGCATTGAACACATTCGAGCCTGTCAAATCCCCAGGAGTAGACGAGATCTTTCCAGCACTCCTACAAAGAGGAAAAACAGAGATCATGCCGCACCTTGTAGATATAACCAGAAGCGGTATGGCGATGGGATAGGTACCTCAAATATGGATAAGGGCACGAGTGACTTTCATTCCAAAGGCAGGCAGGAAGGATGGGACAGACACCAAATCTTTCAGACCAATAAGCCTCACATCGTTTCTCCTAAAGACGATGGAAAAGGGAGTAGATAATTATATCAGATCCACTACCTTGGACAAGTGGCCATTGAACGGAAATCAGCACGCCTACAGAGCAGGCAGGTCCACTGAGACAGCTCTGTTCCAACTGACGAGCATGATTCAAGAAATTCTGAATGAGAAAGAAGTCGCACTATGCGCCTTCCTAGACATCGCTGGTGCCTTTGCCAAGACATCACATGCGGCCATTCGGAGAGCAATTCCGAGAAGGGCGTCAATGACACAATATCCCGATGGATGTGTAAGATGCTTGCCACGAGGATAGCAGAGACTTTAGTAAGCAATGAGTCTACTGAGGTACTCGAGGCACTCCCCAGGGTGGAGTATGCTCACTCCTGATTTGGAGTTTAGTGGTGGATGAACTACTAGGAATACTGAACAACCTGGACTTGCACTGCGTTGGGTATGCCGATGACATTGTCATCATAGCAAGAGGAAAGTTCGAGGGCATCCTGTGTGAACTCTTATAAAATGGAATCAATGCAACAGAGGAATGGTGTCGAACATTTGGACTGGAAATAAACCTATAAAAACCCACCGTAGTGCCGTTCACTGGGAACCTTAGAATGAAGGACATCCAAATACAAGGGAAAATTATTATACCGGTGACGAAAGTCGAATATCTCGGCATAACGCTAGACTGCATACTCAGATGGAACAAACAATGGTGTGACGAAGCTTTGCAGGCAAAACCTGCGGATGCTAACCAGGAATATTGAGATGAGATATACACCATGAATCATGATAGTAAAGCGAACCCCACTATATGGATCGATTGTCTGGCACAAAGAAGTTGGAAAAGAATATAAAGGTAGCTCTCAACAAATTGCAACACCTGGCATGCACATGCTTCACGGGCGCAATGAGAACCTGTCCTACAGCAGCCATCGAGACAAGTGTAGGTTTCGCACCTCTTCACATCGTGGTGGAGGTGGCCGCTGGAAGAGCAATGACTAGAAATATTTTTCACCTATCGCTTTTATCAAACAGTACACATCTACAAATTGAAATCGACTCACAACGGGCTATTTATAGACGAAATTTTATTCGGGATTTCTCTAGAAGAACTTGTTTTCTCAAATAGAATAGAAGCTGCTGAACTCTTGAAATCTGACCTTAACCTCAACGAACCAAAACGCAAGCATTCTAAAAATTACAATTTAGGGATAAAAATAAGTGAATAATTGTTTCTGGTAAGGATTAATCATGGTTGCATGGTTCTAATATAGCCAGTCTCAGAAGACGAAAGCATAGATTTTCAAAATTAAACTGTTGTCAATTGACCTACAAACAATTAATCAATTACACTACTTACATGAGTGAAGACACGGCTCTTCATTTTTCTTCTGTAATGCGCGCCTAGCTTTAGTTGGACAATGTGGTTTTTCCTGGAACTGGGTCCTTGCATAGACAGGCAATTTGTTTTTTCCTTCCCTTCCATGTTCGATAGATCAATGTTAATTCACAGGTCTGTGAAGCTCGGGAAACCCCACTGTGCTACAGATCCTTCCAGCAACAGTTTTTTGTTGTTTTCAAAACTTGTTTGGAGATATCGACCTGAACTAGCAAAGCCAAATAAACACGCAACCAATCCACTCCTATGGAAAATTCCATGTGACCTACGTTTAATATCAACCTCAAAGAAAAGCGCTGAATTCATGAGGAATCTAGGTACTTTTAGGTAGGTAACCGAACTTTCAGAATCTGAAAATCACGTCGAAATCCTTCGAGAAGTTTTCAAGCTATAGCAAATCTTGTTATCTGCATTTTATGTTTAGTAGTTTACTAAAGCCAAAAGGCATGAATCCAAAAGCTGGCACAAATATTTGGAGATAATGGTATTTTCTTGGCGACTAAAAATGGCACGCATCCAAGCTTTCCGGATTTTTACATGACTTTCTTAGTCATCTTGTACTTATATCATAGAAATGGGTTACTTTAAAAAAAAATGGAAATAAAAATTAAAATAAACGCGAAAACTTTATTCTCGACATTTACACAATTAAACCAGCGGCAACGCTGCATGCACGACAAAATTGAAATTCAAACCAACATTCCTACTTTTTTGTTCAGTTTTTTGAATCTAAAATATTTAAAATAATTTTACATGCCCTTCAATTTCCTATTCTCATCCATCCAAATCGTGCAGCGTGTGACCAAGTGTAAGTGAACATTTATGAAGCTTTGAGAAAAAAACATTAAAGTTATTAAATTTCTACAATTTTGTGGAAATTTGAAAACATTTTTGTTTTCTTTCAAAACTTGTAATGAATTTTCATAAAGTATCGGCTAAATTAACGTGTCTAATTTATAGAGTCGTCTAAAAATCGATCGAGAAAAAATGGTGGCTCTAGCAATTGGTGAGCAAATTTCCAGCGAGGAGCAGTATATTGCCAACATTCTGATTTCCATTATTTGCCTTTATGGAGATGATGGATTGCCTTTGGAAATTGTGGATAGAGAATTTGAAAACTACTGCGGATTTCCCATTCCTTGGAAGCAGTTTGGGGCCAACAGCTTGAAATCATGGCTAATAACTCTACCGCGAATTTATGTTGTGTACGATTATTTTAATAGGGAAGTATTGATTGAGCAAAGCCCAAAATCTTTGCACATCAAAAATTTGATAAAAAATCAAAAACGCCATCAACCTCAGCCAAATATGGGCTATAATGATGATCAGTGGCATGTAAACGACCATCAAACAATTACAAGTACAAATTTCCTACATCTCTCAATAGAAAATGTACAACAAGATGCGAATAGATACAAGAATTATGCACAATTGGTAAGTGAAACTTAATTTAATAATTTTTACTTTACTTATATTGCAATTGACACTTCATAGCTTTAAATTTTTTTAAAAGAAATATCTATCCTTTTTCCTTGATAGAATTATCGATATTTGCCTCTCGATATATGAGAAAAAGGTGGGTATATGTATAAGTACCCTAAACGCTACAACTTTTTGAAAATCTTCATTTCAATATTCAATGGATTGTAGCGTCCAAATGCATCTATTTTGGGCCCGTAACAAATGAGCATAAATTTTGTTTTGATATAGCTTTTCTTGGTTTCAACATATAGTCGTTTGAAAATTTCGAAAATCAAATTTGCTTGTAAAAAATTCAATGATTTAAGTGAGGTTGGGGACGGTGCCGCCTTGACTGAAATCGAGAAAATTTTCACTTTTTTTTTCCATTTTTCATCTTGTATAAAGGTACCGATGGATATATTGTGCATTGTGCCATTATATCAAAAAATGTGTTTTTGAGTTCAACAAATTTCGACTTTATTATTCAAAAAAAGGTGGTCAAAGTATTTATTAGAAAGGCGTCATTTTCTTCAAAGGTTTTTACGCCTGAGAAACTAAAATTTATTTCTGCATTTTTTCCTTCCTGGAAATTTCGAGCATCGGACATCACCTACCTATAATTTGTTAATGCTCTACAAACATTCTATGATTATTTAATGATTCTTAGTCAAAATTGCATGCCCTACAAGATTGAACAGGATTGCATTCTATATCTGGAAGAGTTTTTGAAATAATCTGGAGTTTCAAATTTTCTCCAAACTTTTGAATAAGGGTCAAAGTCAGTTATCACGAAATTATATTGTCTAGGTTTGGTGCACCAAAGAAATTTTCATAGCCCTAATCGATATCCACTAATAGTATAAATTTTGTATCCATTTTTTTTACAATTTTTAAAGCAGATGCGTTTGAAAAATTCGAAATTCTGGAAAATCACATTTCCTTTCATTCTTTGAGCACCGCAATGTGCATTTTCTCAAAGTTTGTATTTTTGAGTTTCCCAAATTTTTGTTATATAAATCGACAGAGAAGGCCTTTAGCCAAAAGGCATTTTCGCAATCTTTTTCTGAAGGTAGCTTTCTGGTTTTTTTTTTTAGTGAAGCTTTAAATTTCCAGTGTTTCTCTCTTGAACAATTTAATTCATGTCAATGGCCGCGTTCACCAGATACAAACGTTGGTAAACGGTTTGCGATTGTTCTGCTGAACGCTACGTTGAATTTGTGTTAAAACCAAACATGTTTTGCAAACAGTCGCCATTTTTGCAAGCATAATTTCAGAGTGTTTATAATTTTCAACACTGTGTTTTGTGTGGTGACCTGTCATTCAGAAGGTAACGTTCTATCATTGAAAAGTTGAGTCGTTCAGCAGAATCAAGAGTTTACCCAACATATTCTGTTGGTATTTGTAAACTGTTCACAATCCGTTTTGGTTCTGGTGAACGTAGCCAATGCTGTTTGCTGTCAACTTAATGACTTTGAAAATTGAGAAAATATTCACTTTAACATTCGAAGGAGGAAGCCAAATTTAGTGACAAGCCATTTTCGTAACCTTTTTTCTTCAAGGTTTGAAGAAAAGGCCTGCAAAAATTTAAAATTATTTTGGAAGTTTCGATCATTGGACATAGCCTCACGAATAAATTATGATGTTAATATCCTGCGAATTTTTAAAATTATTAGACGACTGGATGAAAATTAAATGCCCTACAAGATAACGAAGGGTTGCATGCTATATCTGTTACAGTTCTTGAGATATGGGGTGCCAAATTTTTTCAAATTTCAGAAAAACTTCGAAGTCAAAAGAGTTTTTTTTCTGGTTGCATTACTTTCCGGCTATTTCATTTCCTTTTGTGTTTTCTTGCTAAGTTTTCTTGCCTCTATTTTCCGTTCTCGATCATTGTCTATTTGTACTTTTTGATGTTATGTTTTTCCAATTTATTGAAAAACAATATTCCTTCCACGAGCTACCTTGCCTTGATCTATATTCCAGCCTTTAGCCATTGTGTGAATACCCAATCCTAATCAATTTTTTTGCACTATGTGGGTCTAATTTTGATTTTCTCATGTTCTCAGGTAGGCAATGAATTTGAAAGTTCACTTTTCTGAAATTAGGTCTTTCTCAAAAGCAAATTTCATCTGGGATTATATTGTCAATCCAGAGCTCTAGTGCGGCAGCTTAGCTAGGATATTTCAACATATTGTGCACTTTTTGATAAAGGCACCAAATTTGGCACAGAGGTAGATCGATGTAATATGAATAAATTTGGATGTGGAGCCATTGGCCAACTGCCCCCCGGCGGCCGTGGCGGCGGTTTTTCAAAATGGCCGCCAGTGGTTACCCCGAAAGACTACAAAAGTCAGATAAAGTTTGCTGCTGAAGTTTTCAGTGAATGTTTATTGATGGTTTTGAATGGAAACATAACAGATATTTTGTAACTTATACAGGGTGGGGCACGAAAAATTTCCCACCTAGGTTTTTTCTGGTGTTAGGTGATTAATCAAAATCGCTCGGACACATCAACTTTCGTTTTTTGTGGGACACATTTTATTGGTATTTTTACCCCCTACCCGCAAAATTACAAATGGAAAGGCGATTTGAGTGATTACTATTTCCTAACTTTTACAAGCCGCCATTTCGGCAGGGTAGATAAATTGTAGCAACTTAAAATTTTGAGAATATAATCTTAATAAAAATTGCTATGGACTCATGTATTACTCCAATCCCCTTCCTATTTGAAATTTTGAGAGTAGGTACCTGTTACCACCGCTTAGGGGTTGACAGGTAGGGGAAGAAAATTCCAATAAAATGCGGTCGAGCGATTTTTGATTATTCACCTAACACCTGAGAAAACCTGGGTGGGAAGTTTTTCGTGAAACACCCTGTATATATTTATTTAATAGTAGGAAAAACTGTTTATTTCTATTTATAATAAAAAAAAATGCACATTTTATGTGTTTACCTAATATACATTTCATTGCTATTCAACATTTAATAAAAATAAAGGGGTTGACAGGTGTTTTTAATAGTAGATTATACCACGAGTCAATAATGATAGCTATTATTCCCGAGGTATATTTACGAACTGAGCCGCGCTAGCGGCGAGGGAGTAACATTCCGAGGGAATAATAGCCATTATTGCGAGTAGTATACTCTACTTTATTTACGACAAATTAAATTATTTGAGATTTTCAATGAACAAATTTCATCCGTCTCATAATTTTCAATACAAATCCACAAGCACTACACGTTTGACAATGACACTTTTGTGGAATAATGACCATTAATCCCGCTACTCGTCATTAATCCCTGGAGGAATAACATATGTCATTATACTGCCAAAATCACAAATATAATACGCACATTAGTCGTAAATAAAAGTAGTTTTATTCCGTTTTGACTAGTTTTATATGTAGATACATATTGTATATACAGGGTATCCTACCGGAAACTGTCAATGGCCTTTATGCAGAATAAATTTCAAATTCATTTTAATTTTTTTTGGGATTTTTTATTTCCCGACCACTCCTTGTTTCTTGCGCTTGTTTATAAATTTCTACATCTTCCCATGTCTTAGCATCATTTGGTCTATTTTCAATAATTGTTTAATTTTTTCTTCCCTGCCTGTTCAAAATCCTCATTATTGTTTTCTGTACGCTTTCTTTCTTCTTCGATATCTACCGTCAACGTTTCTTCTATTTACTATTTTATTGTCTCTCGATAAAATTAATTTATCATTATCAAAATCCCAAAGTTACATCCTCCTCCACAGTACCCAATCATTGTGTGGAATTTTGCTCGTCTTTCAAATTTATTTGTTTTTGACAAAACAACTGCCCAATGTTTTGGTTCCAAATCAATGTAGATAAATAATTCTTTAGCAGCCTCATCTTGTAGCTGGTGGAGTAACTCCATTTGCACTTAATTATCGGGCCATGATTCAATTCATAGAATGGCTTCTTCCGAAAGTTTTCGTGATAAATTGGTTTCAATAAATTTGGTTCTTACCCCTTCTAATAATTTTCTATTTATAATGTTCTGAGTTACCATTCTGCTGAGGACTATAATAAGGCTATCCCTACGTCTATTGAATGGGTACATTTATTGCGACAATAATTTGTGGAAAAGGATAAGATAACTCGACGCCATTATAACATCTAGATATTTTTGTTTTGTTCCACGACCATGTTGAGTTTTTATTGAAATTATGAAATCGATATTATTATTATTAGCAGCTTTATTTCTATTTTTCAATAATTCCACAATCAAAAAATGAGAATAATCTATCAATTAAAACTTGGAAATATTCATAACTTTCTTTTGTTGGGGTTATTATTGGCATCGACTCACCCTTGCTAACATTATAATCAATATTCTAGCTTAACTCTTTTCGATAATCTCTTATATTTTTAAAGTTCATATCTAACAAATATAAATCATTAAATTATGTTATGTTTTATACTTTTTCTGCCATCTTAATCTTTCTTAGTTTACCGTCGTTTTATTGTTTGTTGTAATTACTTTTACTGTTTAAAATAGTCTAACTTAAGTGTGATATACTTGATTATATTGTTGACATTTATTTTTATTACGCGTAAATAAAGATTTGATTTGATTACTAACAATAAAAAGTAGCTTCAGATGAAACAGATATGAAATTATGACACATAGATTATCTTGACAAATGCCGTGCAATATACTATGCTTGTTTGCAGTTGAATTTTCCCACTCTTTGCTGTTTTAATGTTCACTGCAGTCTAAAGTTATTTTATGTCAGTCATAAATTTCTCCAGGGCAGTATTCACTTAGTGATTGCTTGAAAACTTTCACCTGAGTTACCTCCTGAACCTCTTCTACCTCTAATAAAATGTCCTCATCCACCTCTTTGACCTAACATTTTCAGGGTAACTTCATTCGTGATTTACAATCTGAATTTACAATTACATTATTTGTTTCTTAATTTGATAATTCTTTTCATTGCAGATGATTCTTCTATATGGCTTCAGCCTCAGGAGCAGTTTGCAATACTGCATACTCCTTTATACCCAAGACCTGCATCTCTACCAGAATATCCTGATCTATCCCATTGTCCTTTTAAATCATTGACCGCAAGATCTGGGTCAATTTCTTCTCTTGACTTGTGAGCATCTCCTATTGATAATTAATTCGTGCCTTACAAACTCAAGAGAAAAAATCAATTCTCAGTTACGCCCTACTCAGCTCGGCGACGCGACACGACACGACACGACGCGGCGCTGCAAATTTTTGCTAGATAAATATCTCATTGTTTTAAATGAATAAATTCCCACCTGCACTGCACTACAGTTTACGACACGTCGCATTTAAACCAATGAAATATTTATCTAGCAACAATTTGCAGCGCGGCGTCGTGTCGCGTCGCCGAGCTGAGTGAAACGTAAGTGAGAATTGACCTTAACGTGACTGATTCTGGCGATACTAGCGCCAATCGCTACAGACTGATTAGTGAATGACACTTACTTAGAGCCGGTTTATTCACCTTCTGATAAACTGTCAGGTATGCAATCTGACGGATAAAAACGCAATCTGTTATCTCAGTGATCGGCCAGGTATCTGTCTACCAATATATAGGATTATAGATTATGGAATGGTAAAGTTATCTCGCAGATAGTCACCAGCAAGTTTATCTGAAGATGAATAAACCAGGCCTTGGTATTTTTCAAAAACTTAATGCCTTTCAACTTCCTTTGCAAAACCATACCGTCAACTTACCAAAAAGTTCCGCCAAAATTTCAACGTTCAATTTTCAGAAACTAATTAAAAAGAGCTCAATGACAAACTTCATCAAAATTGATGCTGCAAAACAGAATTCTACGTTGTTTTGATAATTCTCTTCTCATTGCTGTTTTTATATTGAAACTTCAAATTGTTCATTAATCTTATTGCTTTTTTTTTCTTCAAGGAATCCATGCTCCCTTTATTTTACCGACATCAAGCTCTCGGAGATGATTTTTTTGTGGATATTGCCGATACTAAAATGGGTTACTACATTCCAGAAAATGGTAATTTTTACAACTATTAGATATTATTCTGACAAATGTAATTTATACATGTTGTATTTTATATCATTAAAAGGTCCTAAACAAATTGGATTGTGCGTGGCTGGGCAAACGATCGCAGGCCTCACAGAAAGAGTTAAGAGCGCAGATCATATAGCTCCAAGGGTAGTAGTAATGATTGGATATCAGGATTTGATTAATGTAAGTCCCTTAGTTCATTTTTTCATAAAAAGGTATAATAACTGAGATTAACTTTTATTCTAGGACCAAAGTATCAACTCCATGGTCACAGATTTGAGGCAACTCGTTGTAGAATTGAAGAAAAGACAAACTCGCATCACGCTCGTTACTTTGGCACCATCACCTAAACTACCCAATGTACCAAGATTTCATTGGAGGATGGACATATTCAATAGGGCAATCCTAGATTACTCTAATGATCCAATTCTCGCGTGTAATGTTATCGATATGGAAGCTATTTTCAAGAGGGAAATTTCTAGAAGGGGATCGTAAGTATTTATTTTTCATGTTCATCAATTTACCATCACGAATTTGAATGCCACAAAATGGCACTTAATTATATCCTCGAATTATTATAGCTAGAAATATTTGCTCTGCGAATTTATAATGCCAAAACAACTCTACGAAAAATATACCCTTGGTGACTAGGTGAACAAAGTTTACAATACTAATACAGAATAAGATTTATTTAGAACGAGTTATTTCACATTGGAAATGTATGTTATTTATTGCTCGTTTCCTTCGAAAAAAAATCATAAATCGTCAAGTTTTAAGCAGAATTCCATCGATTCAAAAGTACCTATCTTTTCGATCTATGTCCACTAAGTTCTGAAAAAGGCGTGCCTTTTTCAAGAACATCACAAGTGACAGGGTATGTATTAAATATTATTCCCAAATTGTAAAGCTTTTGTTTGATAAAGGCCGAAGATGAATTTTAAGTGTGTCAAATACACTGGACAGATCAAATAAGATTCAGGCAACCACCTGTTGGTCTGATATTAACTCGATCCAGCAAGTTAATAGCTGAAGGTTCAGCGACTTCTCATCAAGCAGCTTGTCTTTGTTCAAAAAGGCAATTGATCTGTGGCAGTAGACTATTTCAAAAAATTTCAGGAAATAGACTGGTAGATCCTTAACTATTTTCAAAGCTGATGGGAATTTCGCTGTTTCAATACTAAAACGGATTAGTGCAGCTCCTATTTCTTTAGCAGCGACTTCAATATTTATTTTATTCATGATCTATTGAATCTATATAGGCAAAATGATCGTTCAGTTTCTCCTCCCCTACCGTCACAGAGAACCTTCGAAGCTTGTCTGCCAGAATTCTCTGATGGGTCCGGATTCACTCCATCTGAATGTATATTTTGCATGCTTTGCTTCGGTTTTCCCAATTCTTCATTTAAAATAGACCATTCCTGTCTTGTTTTATTTGTTGCATACATAGGGACTTCTCAATATTATATTGAGCATTTGCACACTTTACACGTTGCCGATTTTTCTTTTTTGCTTTCTACTGTATACAGGGCGTGTTTTAAAAGGTACCACCCCTTGGTGGTTATCTTGGAATCGCAAGCTTTCGAACAAATCTTCGAAATTAGCATCGATAATTTGAAAGATTACTTTTCCTACAAAAATTACCTTTCCCCTTCCAACTCCCAAGACCGGCCCCTACCTAAAAAATCTTAAATGGGAACGAGAACTAAGTGATATATCACTATAAAGCTCATTTTTAATCTTATATTTAGGGATTTTGGTACATGTTTAATTTACTTGCAACCTTCACAAGATATGCTTTTTCATTTCAGTGTCTATTGGTAGGTATCAATCCATCCAGAGGTTTCCGTCAATTTCTTTTGCTCTGATATCGCTATCAATTCCTTCGCTCCAACTACGTTGAGGTCTCCGTTTTTGTCTTCCCTGCGGTATCCTCATTCAGTACTCTCTTCGATTTTCTGTTTTCGTCAATTTTTTGAACATGTCTAGTTATTCCTTGTTGATTCCTACATCTCCTGTAATTTTGTGTTTAGAGGCATTATTTCGAACTCTTTTCAGGTCCGATCTTCTGGCAACCTGTGTCAAAAAGCTGACTTTCTGAGCCCTCAAGTATGTCTCTAGGGTTTTTTTCCCAGAGCCATATCTCCAACAATGCTGTTATAAATTCTGTGTTTGTTATTTTTCGATATTGTTTTATCTTAAAGTATGCTGCTGAATTCGCAATTGGCGGACTTCCGTGGTTGTTTCACTACTACCGCTACCGCCGTTGCGGTAGTAGTTGCGGCTACATGCCAAGATATTTGTATTTATCATTGTGTTTACTTCTTGTTGTTGCTCCAGGACTAAGCTGTTCTTATCCACCAATAAAGTTCTATTTCATACATTTTTAATGTTTACTCCCAATGATATTTATTCTTCAATCAACTTAAGGGTTATATTTTCAAAGTCTTCATAATCTTGAATCAGAATTATTTGATCGTCTACGAAGCACAGTGTTATGTCATGAGATCATCTACCATCTACTGGTATTTCGTATTTTCGCGTAGCCTATATGCATTTCCTGAATCCGTGCCCTTTTTTTCCAATTACCTAGGTTATCGTGAACATATAGACAATATTAGATCTACGCTCTCTAATAGACTGTGAGATAGGGGCTGTTTAGTGGAGTCATTTTTTTTTATCTGGCATTTTGAGGTCTGAATGTGGCTACTAAGCTGATGGGAATATGGGTGATTTTAATGCCGGCCTCCCGTTCGAAAATTTACAGAAGAAAAAAATTGATTTATATGAAGAATTTTTTTTTAATAATCTCAAATTTTCTAGCCTTTAAATAAAAGATTGACATTTTAAATAATTCACCAATAAAAAATATCAGATGCTTTTCAATAGCTGAAAAAATTGGGATGTGTCAACACCCAAAAGAAAAGAAAAGAACTTTCCGCGTTTACTTTTTGTCTGGCAATCGAGAGAATGAAAGGCTTTGTTGTGAAAATAACACTGAAAAATCGCCAGACGATAATCACAGTTCGAAATCGAGTTTGCCGGCGAAACATTCTGTGGAAATTTCGAACAGGAGGCATTAAAACCACTCTTCTCATCAGCTAACTAGTCACATTCATCCCTCAAAATGCCAGACAAAAAAAATGACTCCACTAAACAGGCCCTATCTCAGGGTCTATAAAGGCCGGTCAATCTCTCAAGCTTTTTTTTTCCAAAGTCTTCCATAGACTCTCGAGACGGTGGAACGCTTATCGCAATGTATTTTCTTCCCTTTACATTCATTTTCAATTTTATGTGTTTTTAGGTTAAGGCGAGGGTTAAGACATTTGTATTTTTCTCTTCTGCAGGTTATCATCCTCTCGATTTCTGTTTCGCAACTAATATGTTTACCTTCTCCTGGGGTTTTCATACCGGAATTCCTTCTGCTGTACTTTTTAGGCGATCCATAATGTCATTATTGTACCTACTGGTTACCTGTACTATCAAACTTTTCTTGTAAAGTTTTTTCCTCGAGTCGATTTTTGTATAACGATTTCATACTTTCGTAGTTGAAACTATCCAAATTGTACTTATTTATGCCCGACCCTCCTCAAGTCACGAGTCAGAAACCCTCTATGAAAAAAAAAGGGCGTCATTAAAACAAGGTATACCTTCAACGAGAAAAAATAGTGACGCTTTAAAACTGTTGGACATGTGAGTACCCCTGTTACTTCTAAGTAATAGAATTCTTTCGCGATTCTAGAAAGCTTTGCGGCGCCTTCTTATAAAGTACTGATTCGAGATGATCCTACTAGACCGTCAGCTAATGACAGATTTTGCTGACCGATTTTCTCTTTTGGGGGATTTCAACCACTGAAAGCTATGTCAGTGCTGAGTTCAAAAAACGAAAAATTAGCGACTGGACGTCTGCTAGGCATATGGAAAATTTATTTTCCAGAAAAAAATAGGTTATTTTTTCAATTTCTCTTTCAGGGAATTTTAACACATTAACATTATAGAACAATCTAATAGTGAAAAACCAAAGCCATAAGGTTTGCACGTACTGAAAGGGTTGTAATGAGGGCGCGATATTGTGAAAGAATACTCGGTTGCTGATCGTTTTATCGCTTATGACAATCGACAGAATCAAATTTGATATCGTTACGAACCAGAAAAAAAATTTCCATGACCCGGTCAGCTGTTGAGGTATTTTTCATGGCCGCTGCAAAAGAAATGATTGATGAATGAATGATTGCACATGTCAAACGTTTGCCAGAATCTACAGGGTGATATTTTATCAGGGGTCATGCCCACTTTTCTGCCACTGAACTTTTCCGCGGTGCGCCGCTGGTCGATTCTAAGAAACAAAATGATTTTCCTACCTTATTTAGAAACTTTTTGTTCTCTTGTAGATTTTTCTTATCGCCGACCCTTATCCAGAAAAAAATTAAAATACAAATCTATGTAATTAGCTAGATGAAACTAAAGTGACTCAATACACCTTTTTTACCTACAGTGGCGAGAATAGAGGTCCCGCAGCCATATTCTTGCTCATTTTCAATAGGAATCTACAAGTAAGACACCCCTCGCCGCCATATTCTTGCTCATTTTCTATATCTTGAGTCCGTCCTTGCATTTCTTATAGCATGGCCCATATCTCGTCTAGGGACTTGGCTTCCATGAAGACATTTATTTATCAGGATTTTGATAAATTTTGTAATAATTGTTCCTCCTAACTTTATCATTTCAACTGTGTATACGATCCTCCTTCATTCTGGATTCTACAAATTTAGCCTAAACTATACAACTTTTGTATTTACACCTTTCATCTACCTGTAAGGTGGGAAGTCAATACATAAAAAAACACCCTGTACATACCTACCTATATGTAGTAGGTACATTACAAAAATTGTAAAAAACTCTAAGGCCTCGGTGCCAGCAATTTGCTACTGTATGAAGGTAAGTTATCAATATATTTTTTTTTTAAATATTGTTGAGTTGGTAACTTGACTACCATAGTGATCATCAGGTTTGTTTCTTCCAAAAATTCCCAAGCAACGAAACTTTTTGGCACAACGAATTGCGACAAGAAATCGGAAGTTTTCTTCTCACAAAAACTTAATACTTTTTATAATATTGTGATTGATTTGTTATTCTGGTAATCCTAAGTGAACTATCACGATACCATTATCTATTGGTTTCTTTTTTTCTAAATCTACCCCAAATTCTTTTACATTTTCTCCACAAATTGACCAAATTCATAGCTGCTTCGCAAGTACATAAAAACGGTTGAGCTTTCATTTATTTTTAAATACTTGGGACGAAAACGAAAGATTAAAAAAATTATACATCACTGCTACTCTAAGGTCAGTGCAAAGCTTGGCATACCATCGTGTTGAATAAAATGTACATTTTGAAGTATGTAATATTAATGTGCCCAGACTAATGGATTAAAATACCTGAGTAAATTTTTGTGGGTATGTTCTGATTTTGATTTTTTTTTTATAGCGAGAAGTTTACACGGGTTGCTAGGAATGATAAATACAAAGTATTTTCGGATTATGGAAAGAAGATCTTCCTAACCGCTTTGAAAGCCTGCCTCAGGGAACAACTGGGATATGAAATTTAAGGAAAAGCACCCATGCTAATTCCATACCTCCAGAAAATAATTTTTATTGGCTAGTTTCACTAGTTGATATAAAATTTCTTTTTCTATGTATTTGTGTATTGTCTATTTTATTTGTATAATAAATCAAATCACTATTGAGTAGTGTTATGTTGTCTTATTATCTGTTAGTTGTTTGAAAGGAAACACCTGTGATATACTTTTAAGTTTAGTACCTACGAATTTATTTAGTAATTTAGCATACAAACTATATTTAAGGATTTATTGATATTGTAACTATCAATGAGATGGAACGGATGGATTTTTGAAATGTAATACCCACCTGTAAGTACCTAATTTAAGTTTAGTATTATCAAGTAACAGCATTTATTATGAGATGCAACAAATTTTGAAATGTAGGTAATACCTGCTGTAAGTCTGTATCTAGTTTAAATTTAGTATTTAGTAACCAATAGCATTTATTTTTAAAATATAGTTATAGTTAGGTTAGTACCTACCTAATTTATTGTTTTATTTCAAAACCTATTTTGAAATTATTTACCAATTCTCAACGAATTTAGCTACTTTTGAAGTACGTGACCATTATTCTCATCCCCATCTACATGTTTTCCAATTATAATTTAAAAAAACACAAATGTATTTCAGAAAACCTCAATTGTAATACAGATTTCTCAAATGTAATATCGAAAATCTCACTTGTAATTCAGATTTTTCAAATGGAATTCAGAAAATTTCATTTATAATTTAGAAATTCCAAATTGTAAATCAGATGTAATTCAGATATAACAGTTATAACAATTGGTCCAATATTTTGTGGGGTGGTCCGCTCTGGTTCTCAGCGCCTCTTTTTTTAAATCTCAAGTAATTTAAAAACTATGTAATATAAAATCTATAGGTACCGTTTTAAATATGTATAAGCAGAAACATGTATCTACAAACATAGATACAGACAGGGTTTCTGGACTGTGAACAAAGGGATATTTAATAACATTATTCTTTAAATTTCAAACCAAGCAAATTTTCTGAATTTTAGTTGAGACATTCTGAATTACATGAAATGAGATACTTTATCCGGTTTGTATTGAACATTAACCTGAGTGTATCACGTTTGAGTAACCTTATTTTCACTCTTGATATTCTTGGAGAACTTAAGTCAGTAACACCTTCTGCACAATAGAATTACCTAAGGGTTTTACGGTTTGTATGAACAGTAAGAAGTCTACCAAATGAAATTATGGAAGTTCATATGAATAAAAAATTCAATAAACTCATTCTCTATTTGGCTAAATCTTGTCTCACAGTGAGTGAACGATAAACATTACCAACTCTTTGTGATCTTGTAATAGAAATACGCAACTAAAGTCTGTTTGTATAATGATGGACTTGTCATTCAACAAAATTCCACAAAACCACAGAAGAAGTGATAAGTTTTTGGATTGAATGCAATTAAATTACATTATCCAAATTTGTATTTTGTTTGATAACTCAAGACTCAAGTTCAAATTCTCAAACAAATAAGCTTCGACAACAGCAAATTTGATACCGAAACGTAAGCCAACAAAGTCCATATACAATTCTGCCTTTATCGAATGGTTTTGTCTCGTTTTTTTTTTAATGAGAAAATGGTAATAAATTCTACTACCCATATATCTTAAATCCTACCGAAACTTCCAGGAAATAATATGTTTGTCCGGAATATAATAGCTTTATCATCAAACAAAATCATGGCGCAGTGTAACCAAACCGCCCACCAGAGGAACCGGGCACATTTTTCATATATTATTCGGAATTTTTCGTTGTCACACCAGAATGCTACCTCACACGTAGTATGACTTTAAAGGAACAAGCCGGCAATCAATTCCGTCCCAATTTAATAGACGGTTTTACCACCCACGCCCTCGCTGCGGGGCATCTGCCAGCTACTTGTTGGCGGCGATCGGTAAAGAATAAAGCTTTGAAAGTTACTGAAATTGACTTTTTAATAGACTCTGTAAAGTGCTATGTTCCAAGAAATTGTTAAGGACCAAGGAGTGTTCTGACAATTGTCCCAGTGTTGATTTTCGAATACGCCGGTTGTAAGGCGGGAAATGCCGAAGAATAAAAACTATTGATGAAGTGGGCGTTCCGGGAACTATCCGTAACATCATTATAGGTACGTTTCTTGTCTTCATAAACTTTTTTGAAAAAATAAAACTTTTTAGGGTTGCCACCACTCGCATTTCATTTATTGTGTGTGATTCTAATTTAGAGCGCTGAAAAAGTCGCTGGTTTTGGTCAACGAAAATTTAAAAACGGAAACGAATTACCTATTAATATATGATTAGCAGATAGATATATCACAACGTTTATTGGAAGATATTCGTGATGGAATTGGGAAAACAATATCAAACTAACAGAATATTTCGAATACTTCCGGAGATATCAGCAAAAAAACAACATTCTGCAACATAGTTCTCTTCTCGATTTTTGTGTAACAATGTCATATTGTCGCACGCAAAATCGTTGAAGAACGAAGCTCATTCTTCAACGATTTTTGGTTTTCAAAGTATTTGTATCTATTGGTATACCTTCAAAATTGTTAAACCTTCAAAATAATAAAATCCACCTGTAAGTTGGTTGGTAACTTTAAGTGTGTGTGTGATAAAGGTTGACCAGCAGTTCTGATCTTTTTTGGTTGAAGTTGCCCAATAGATCTATGGCCTGTCGTAGTCCTGGCCGTTCTACCTATTGTTTGTTCCTTAGCTGGTTCTCTTCTTTTTTGAGGATTTCTTTGAGGTGCGCATTTCCGACGCCGCAAAATGGTTCTGGCCCAGTGAAGGGAGTAGGCGCTTCCGTTCTTGCGAGTCTGTCTGCACATTGGTTGCCCTGTCCGGGCACCCAGAAGAGGGTTACTTTATTTTGTTTTCCCAGCTCATTTAGTTTCTGTAGACATTCCCATACTGTCTTAGAACGGATGACTGGGGATCTCAATGCTTTGATAGCTGCTTGGCTGGTAGACATCATTATAATCTCTCGTATCCGATAATTTCTGTTTAGGTTGAACTGCACGCATCTTCCGATCGCATGAAGTTCCGCTTGAAATATGCTTGGTGATTGGCTCCGAATATCTGGTCCGTGGCCCGAATACTCCGGCTCCAGTTCCCTCAGCAGTTTTGGAACCGCCTGTGTACCGTTTGATGGTATTTGCTTTAAGGGATTGGATATATTCTATGCTCCATCTGTTTTTTGTAGCTACTTAGTACGATGAAAAAGCTTTTCTCGAAACTGCAGTTATCAACAATCTCGTCTTTTGGTAGATCCATGAGGTACCCAACCAACACAAATATGTTTATTAGTGTTCTATATGCTGCTATAGGTATAGCAATATTGTAAGACATTTTACTATCTGATAGGCAATTATAATACACTTAAAAACACGAAAACGGACCACTTTATAAAATATATCTGTCGTACTAAAATGCTTATAATGATCGTGAGTGATAGCTATACGACTAATTTACTACTGCTATAGACCTTTAATAAGAGTATTTATAAAACACCTATATGATAGTTTTTTGTGTACATTTTATACTGCTATAAAAATATTTTGTCTTAAAGATGTTACCAATAACAATTTGGCATTATATTTTTAACTGAGAATAAATCAGAATTGTTGCAGAAATACTATAACTGCGACAGATAAGCCCATCACAAATGGCGTACCTATATATCAGAAAATAATATTACTATATCATACACAATATGAAATACTGTTAAAGCCTCAAACATGTTGATTTTACTTGCCAATTTAATTTTTCTGTCAATATATAGGTATATATATTTATTAACTAAATTTTCACGCGTCTGTATTTTAGGGAGAGTTATTATATTTTACAAGTTGAAGATGGTAGTTACAAATGACAACTTCCCTTCAATAATTATATTTCTCTCGCTATTCTAAATGTTTTTCTTATACGATGTATCAATTTTTGTCTTTTTTTATGGATTATTTGGTTTTATTTCCCAAACCTAATGTAATGGCCGACCAAAGGTGGCCTGCCAATATGGACGAATCCGATATATAAATTTAATATAAATTTAATACAAATTTGCTTAATCCTGGTTCCCCTCAAACTCTTGAAAATACAAGGTTGTCAGATGTATATCTCATATTACTACCCAGTCATTAACCGTTCTTGCATATTTGAAAGCACGCAATCGACGCAATACTCACATATTATAAAGGGCATTTAGAAAATGTAGTGATATTTAAAAAAAGTTTTTCTGTAAAAGCACCCCAAATACTAGGACAATTTCAATCATCATAATCACCATACATAGAAAATTTTACATACCTACTACTAGTTAGGTACTACAAAAATAAATACAACGTGTAGTCATTCGGGCATGTGTTTAGGCGTTTTATAGTTCTTACTCTAAGGAAAATGTATAATAGTCTGACAACATTGTAAACGATTTTACCAGGAACGGGCGAATACTATAGAGAACGCCGCACAAGCGCCCATACGCATGGCAACCCGAGCATATTTAAGTTGTATAAGTGTTTTATAATAATGTCTTGTACCCTCGAAATCAAGTATTCTATAAATCATTTTTCTAGGATGTTCTCTTAAGTCAATTTAAACTTAAATGAGTTTGCGACTTAATGTTTTTATTGAAGTTAGCTATATGATAATATAATAAATCTTCAATAAAAATATTTTGTAACTATCTTATACGTTCTTTTGAAAACTGTTATAAGATAACAATAAAACGGATTACACTTAAGAGTGATTGGTCTTATGAATTGGCATTATAGTATGTTATAAGACCTAAGTTTCTTATATTTTATAAAAGACTATTAAAAAATATTATAGAAAGCTTTATCACACAATTAAAACACATTTTTGTCTCTGAGATACTTTTGTTTCAACTACAGTCACTATGTGATAAAATTGTGTATGGAGGACCTTAATATACCAGTTATATAGCACTTTAACTATTAAGAAACAATCTGTGCTAGTTGGGTATGCATAGTTTGAGAGGGGATAAGTTCTGCCAAGGTGCATTTCCCTTTGTAGACCTATCTTCTCCAGTCTAAGACATGATCCACTGGCAACCCGCTTCACCAATATGTGGAGTGGTGTGAGGTCTATATAGAATGAGTTCTAGTGCCGCGGTTGGGCATGATCTCATTGCTCCTGTTATACAGAGACACGCAAATCTTTGGAGTTTTCCTAGGGTTTTCCTAGCTGTTACTAGCTGGGTTCGGCTTTACCAGGCTGCCACTCCATAGGTGATGATAGATCTGAATATCATGGTATACATCCA